TGGGCACTGGGACCCACTGGGAGCACCATGCATTGGGCAACCTGAGCATTGGGCACTGGGACGCACTGGGAGCCCCACGCGTTGTGCAACCTGGGCATTGGGCGCTGGGACCCACTGGCGTTGGGCACTGGGACCCACTGGGACCTCTTGGCATTGGGCAACCTGAGCATTGGGCACTGGGACCCACTGGGAGCCCCACGCGTTGGGCACTGGGACCTGTTGACGTTGGGCAACCTGAGCATTGGGCACTGGGACCCACTGGCGTTGGGCACTGGGACCTCTTGGCATTGGGCAACCTGAGCATTGGGCACTGGGACCCACTGGGAGCCCCACGCGTTGGGCACTGGGACCTGTTGACGTTGGGCAACCTGAGCATTGGGCACTGGGACCCACTGGCGTTGGGCACTGGAACCTCTTGGCATTGGGCAGCCTGGGCATTGGGCACTGGGACCCACTGGGCGGCACATACACCTGTTGATGTTGGGCAACCTGAGCATTGGGCACTGGGACCCACTGGCGTTGGGCACTGGGACCTCTTGGCATTGGGCAACCTGAGCATTGGGCACTGGGACCCACTGGGAGCCCCACGCGTTGGGCACTGGGACCTGTTGATGTTGGGCAACCTGAGCATTGGGCACTGGGACCCACTGGCGTTGGGCACTGGGACCTCTTGGCATTGGGCAACCTGAGCATTGGGCACTGGGACCCACTGGGAGCCCCACGCGTTGGGCACTGGGACCTGTTGACGTTGGGCAACCTGAGCATTGGGCACTGGGACCCACTGGCGTTGGGCACTGGGACCTCTTGGCATTGGGCAGCCTGGGCATTGGGCACTGGGACCCACTGGGAGCCCCATGCGTTGGGCACTGGGACCTGCTGCTGTTGGGCAACCTGGGCATTGGGCACCGGGACCTGCTGGTGTTGGACACTGGGACCCACAAGCATTGGGCACTGGGACCCTTTATGTTGGGCACCAGGACCTGGTGGCATTGGGACAACCCCTGGGCATCAGGTAGTGGGGCCTACTGGCACTGGGACTCACTGGTGTAGGACCCCTGGGCATTGGACACCGTGGGCATTAGGTACCAGGGTCTGTGGGAACCGGGGACCCATCCATACTGGGACCTGTTGGTGTGGGACATCACCAGGACACCAGAACCCACCAGTAGTGACCACCCCGGGCGCAGTGGGACCAGCACCTTTGGGCACTGCATGCCAGGACCCATTGACATTGGGCACTGGGACCCATGGGTGACGGGCACTGAGCACCAGCACCCACCGGTGTTGGGCGCCCCCAGGAACTACTGGATTTGGACACCCCACTGATGGGTACTGGGCACCCCCAGGCACTGGGACCCCCAGGGATGGAGCACTGGAACCCACTGGTGGTGGCACCCTGGGCACGAAGCGCTCGGCAAACCTTAGGGTGCCACCACGGGCACGGGGGTGACTGGGAGCTGACCCCCCCGGGCACGGGGAACCCCGAGGTACCTCAGGATGTTCTCGATGCAGCTGCGCTGGCGGAAGAGGGCGTTGACGACGGGGGTGCCCTCGGGCACCAGCGGGGCCTTGCAGAGGAAGGCGACGATGGAGAGGACGCTGTGGAAGCCCTGGAACTCGGTGTCCGCCTCGGTGCGGAAGGTGATGCGCTGGCACAGCTCCGTCAGGATGGCCAGGTCCAGGATGATGGGGCTGGCCAGCAGCGAGTCCTGCGGGCACCGAGGGGTGAGGGGTTGAGCTCCCCACCCCCACCGGGGACATGCCACCCTCTGGTCACCCCCCAGCACGCACCTCGCACGTGTTGTGGATGACGATGGTGTTGGTGCCGCCCATCATGATCTCCGACGTGTACTCGTCCAGCGCGCGCTTGCTGTCCCCCACGTAGGGCACGTACTTGATCACCACCTGCGAAGCGACGTCCCCGTCACCGCCCCATCATCACTCTGTGTGTGTGTGTGTGTGTGTCCGTGTGTGTCCCAGTCCCCAACTCACGCAGTGGTCGGGCTTGTCCTGGGGGCCGTAGAGGATGGGGTTGGCCTGGACCGTGTCGTCCACCACGTTGCTCTTGGAGATCTCCTTAGAACGAAACTGCTGCGGGGCCGAGAGGTTCTTCCCGTCGTTGTTCCCCAGGTGGTTGTAGCTCACGATGGACTTGGTCTGGGCAGGGGGCGCAGAAGGTCACCCCCCTGTCACCCCTTCCCATCGCGGGCAGGTCCCCCCCACCGTGCCACCCCAGCACTACGTACCTTCAGTCCGGCGCCCACCAAGAAGTCCACCAGCACTGACTTGAGCTTGGTCTGACCCGACTTGAAGTCGTCGCCGCAGATGAAGACGCGACGCTGGGCGGCCAACTCCACCGCCCCCGGCACGAAGGTGTTCTGGGGAGAGCCGTTGATGTAGGCGCAGCCCTCCAGGATGCTGGCCACGGCGAAGAGCGTGGACGGGGACACCTCCAGGCCTCGCTGCGGGGACACGGGGCGGCTCAGCGCTAGCAGGACAGTATTGTCAACCTCCCCCCCAGTCCCCTCCCCTGTCCCCTGACCTCGATGGCCCGCAGCAGGTTGTCGGCGGTGTCGTTGAGCCCCGGCACGACGTCGCAGAAACGCTCCGTGTTGGCCGTCCAGAGGACGATGACTTTGTCCACCCCGCTGGTCTCCTTGAAGTCCCGGATGTCTCTGCGGATCTGCTCCACCTGAGATGCCACCGAGGGGGACACATCAGCACAGTGGCATCCCCCTCGTCACCCGCGTCGCCCCCACCACCGCCCCTCCAGGACCTGCTCAGCCATGGACCCGTGGAGGACGTTGTCCGCCCGCTCCTCCTGGTTGGCAGCGATGAACTCGGGGATGTAGATGGAGGGTCGGGGCTTCATCTTCTCCAGGTGGGGCCACAGCTGCTCCTGCAGCGGCCACTCCCACGCCTCCCACCCGCGCAATGCCTTCAC